GGCAAGCAGCCCCCCCTCAAGCAGCCTCGCAGACCGGAGCGGCTCTCTGGCTGCCTCCCGCCCTCTCGCGCCCCACGCCGCTCGCTTGCCCGCCTTCTTCGGTAGGGCGCCCGGAGCACCGGGGAAGCTGAAGGGGCCACGCGGCTTCCCTCGCGCGCTCTCCACGGGGCTGTTGCTTCGCGGTTTCTTCAGAGTCCTCTTGGCGGCAAAGTCCCCTCGGCAGGAGCCAGAATCCCTTACCCCTGCAGGGTAGACCTATCCGCCCTTGAAGTCGTCGTGGAAAAGGACACGGCCTCCGAACACGTGTTACAAGAGCGCACGGGGGGGTGGGGAGAGAGAGCTTTATTTCTTTATTTATTTACGCTTTCTTACCGCAGGGCTAAATAAGCTGGAGAGTTGCTTGGGTTCCACACTGCCCGGAATCCTTTTCCCTCTTGAAACTCCTATTCTTCAGGCATGCAGAGTGGGTCCCAGAATATGACGGCATATATGAAATAAATCTAGGACCAAACTCTTCTTAGAAACGAATGCGAGGAAGGAAAAAAAACAGCAGAACTACCCATTTGCACGTTTTCTTTTTCTTGGGGAAAAATTGTAAACGTTTCTCGTGGCTTCTTGTTCCTTGATCTCATAATATTGTTACTCAGAAGTAAGTCCCACAGTGCTTAATAGGGGATTAAAAGTCCATAGTGTTGTCTTGCGGCCATATTCTGTGCATGTGGCCATAGTACTTTATTGCCATACTCTCCACTCATACTTACCTGCACTTTTAAAAATGGATAGTATGTTTTGAGTCTCAGTTTGGGACAAAAGGCATACTGAATCACTTGAAGTCCCATTGTGTCCAAAAGAATTTACTCCCAGCTCAATGTATGTGATTACAGCCTTAGTCTGATACTTTGTTTTGTTGCTGTTTGGTGTTATTATTTTCAGAAATTTTAGTTGAAATGTGTTTCAGAGCCTTCACACTTTATATATGATTTAAAAATTTATTCCATTAACTATTTGACTAAACATGAAGTGATGTGCTACAATCTGCAAACTTTTTGTTGCTGAAAAGCTTCCGAAGCTTATTTCCAAAATTCAGTTATAAAAATGATTGACATAGGAAGCTGGTTTCTGCTACTGACTAAGGTCACTGTATTCTCTAGTGTAGTCCAGTACTAGAGACTATGGTCTGCTCTGACTGACAGCAACTCTCTTAAGATGTCATGCCACGGTCTTTCCAAATCCTGCTCCCTGAGAGCCTTTTAACAGGAGATGTCGCCAGGCGCTGAGTCTCATTCCTTCTGAATGCAAAACACGTCGTTTGCCACTCAACTACACCCCCACCTCATAAGCTACTGAGAGCAAATCTGTTTGCTAAATTGGTACGATACAGCAGCAAAGAAACTGGACTACAAATCAGGAAACGTTTGCTTTGCATCTTGACTTGTCGCTGAATCAAAAAGAGACCATGCTGTTTGTGGTTCAAGTGTGGCATTAGGACCCTGGAGACTTCAATTCAAATTCCTATTTGGCCACGAAGCTCACTGGTTGACCTTGAGCCAGTCATATTCTGTCACTCTGACCAACCTTGCAGGATTGTTTTGAGAATAAAATCTAAAGAAAGCCAGCTTTCAGATTACTGGAGCGAAGGTGAGATATAAGTGTTAGCAATGCCACACCATCATCATCAACAACAACAACAAAAACTGGATGAATTTCAGCAAACTGCTCTTTCTCAGCCCCTGTTCCCTCTCTTTTCATGGAGATAACAATAGTCATCTGTATAAGAGGAGACAGTGCTGGCTGGATAGCCCCGGAGTTTGGGTATCTGGCTGCAGAGCCGAAAGTTGGGAGTTTAATTCTCCACTGTGCCTCCTGCGAGTAGAACCAGCCTACACGGCTTTGGGCACACTGCACAGCCACAAGGCACACCCAGAGGTAGGAAATGGTAAACTACTTATGAGTGTTCTCTACTTGGAAAACCCTGGAAAGGTTTGACACAAGACTTGACAAATTAAAATTAGTATTATAAGAGGAAATGTTAACACATTATCGATAATGTTATATGCCATAAAGTCATGTTTACCTTTTGGAAACCTTAATAAGGTTTTCAAGGAAGATGCTGAAGGAGCAATTTAGTACTGCCATCCACCAGATAGCTAAGCGGGGATTTGAACCCAAGTCTTATGAATTCTAATCCAACACGCTTACCTACTACATAGAAGCAGTTTTCAGTTCTTCCTGCTGATGGCATTTTGGGACTTTTCAGCTTGTTCAATGCCATACAGCCTGGCTTTTTTCCCCATGTGGCAGTGCTTCGACCCACTGAGCTATGTAGGGAGCTGTAGATAATGTGCTGACTGAGACTGAAGGTTGGGTACCTATAGCTCAGTGGTGAAACAACATACTTTGCATGTAGAGCATCCAACAACTGGTCCCTGGCATGTCGGGGAAAGACCCATGACTAAAATCCTGGAGAGCTGCTATCTGTCAGTGTAGAACCCATGTCAGAAATCTTTAGCCTTCAAAATATTCAAGCCTGCAGCCAACCCAGTTACTTATCATTGAGTTTACTAAGTAGGATGGATGGGAGCTCCAGGCCAATGTAACTGGGAAACCAAAGGTTCTCAAACTCTCATGCACCTTCCTTAAATGGGCCAATGGTCGAAGTTGGTCTAAAGCAGATTCTTAAAGGAATTAAAACTTTTTTTTGACCAAGCTTGGACATTATTAATATCTAAGATAAAACTGCCAGTGAAAGTTGAAGAAATGTCTAACATCTTATATAAAAGTATAAGCATAAAATAATTTATTTTCTTAATTCCAGAGCCTGTTGCATACTATGTTACTATGTATGTAGTCTTCATGTAGAACTTGAAAAAAGTTACTTTTTTTGGATTACAACTTCCTGATTAATTAAATTGTTGTTGTCCAAAAGGTAACTTTTTGAAACTAGTGTCATATCTTATCTTTTTATTTCCCCTATTTGCACACACACACACACCATTACTGTGAAAAATTCTATAAATGTTTTGTGGCATGACTCCATAACTTATTCCAATATGATTTTCTTTTTTCAACCATGTATCATATACCTTTTGAAAGATTTTTTTCTTAAGTAGCTCAGGACACAGCAAGCCATTTTCCGTGTTATCTTTCAAACCATATTGTGAAGAAACAACAGTAATACAACCAACAGCCCTATGAAGTAGTCTGAACTGCGAGCTTGGGCAAATGTCTAAAGCTACCCTAGTGAACTTCGAAACTGAAAGGAATTGTGTGCTCTTTACACAATACAATGCAGGAGTAAGTGATACCTTTATTAGACTACTTTAAAAAAATCATACAATGTGCTGGATCAAGGCCAACTTCTTCAGACCTGCAACAATGTCTTGTTAGTGCAGAGAATGTAGAATCCCAAGAGTTCATAGCAGGTGGATTTTCCAGGTGTGTTTCTTAGATATAACTTAGGAAAGGTGTAGGCTGCATTGGAGGTGTGGTTTTAAAGTTATAGCTGAGGAAACTGTTGATTGGATACCACACCCCAGCTCTTCAAATAGAGAGGCCTAGGTATTATGCACACACCTTCTTCCATGTACTTCCTTTCAAACTACAAGTTTCTGTTTGTCTGGGGAACAGGGGAACACAAAAAAGCCAGATCCTCCATCTGAGAATTGGGGAGAAAATTTAGTATTCCTACAAGGTAAAGCCAATTGGAGCCAAATTAATATCAAATTGAAGTAGGTGTTTCCTTCAGCTTGCAGTCCTGCTCATCCAATGTTAAGAGTCCACATGTCTTCTTGTTGGTGTGCAGGGAGGATATTCCTTGTATCATCACAGTTCCTTTGAAACCTAAATTTCTACACTAACAAGACATGAGTACCTGCCTGAAGAAGTTGGCATTGATCTATGAAAGCTAGCAGAATGTTTGTTTTTTTCTTAGTGGCCTGATAAAGATACTGCCTACTGCATTGTATTATGTAAAGGCCACACAGCTATCTTCCATTTTTGCTCTTAAGATCATCAGAGGAGACTTTCCTCTCAGTCCCATTGCCATCGCAGGTATACTTCATAAGTTGTGCCATAGGGACATGAGAGAGGGCCTTCTCTACGGCAGCTCCCAGATTGTGGAATCCTCTCCCTTGAGAGATGAGGTTGGCCCCCCTCCCTTTTAATCTGCCACCAATAGCTGAAAAACCACCTTTTCAGACAAGCTTTTAATAATTGAATTCTACATGCTAGTTTTTAGTGTAGTAAGTTTGTTTTTAAAGTTTTAAATGTTTTTTAATAATTTAATATGTATTTATTTTTATTATGGTTTAATTCCCTTTTAATGCATAAACTAAGGCATTCTTTTTAAATCATATTTGTTTTAACATTATGAGCCACCATGAGAGTCTCCTCATTGGGAGAAATGTGGCCTAATAAAGGGTAATCCTGCTCCCAACTCTAAATGACTGGTGCCAGTTAATGTTGTTGGCAGTATAATTTGAAAGAGGGCAATGATCTGATGCAATGTGAGGCAGCTGCCTTCATCGGGGTCCATGTTTCAGCTGTCTGTGGACTTGCTGAGTAGCTTTAGACCAGTGGTTCTTAACCTTTGTTACTCGGATGTTTTTGAACTGCAACTCCCAGAAACCCCAGCCAGCACAGTTGGTGGTGAAGGTTTCTGGGAGTTGCAGTCCAAAACTCCTGAGTAACCCAAGGTTAAGAACCAGTGCTTTAGACCAACCTCAGGCCCCGAGGCCCAGTCTGAAGAACTGAATATTCCATCCAAGTACTAATGAAGCCTTTGCTTCCAAATTCATATGACAATTATGTGTCCAGAACATTGT